CCAGGATGATGGATGTTCTTTTAGTCTTATTCTGGTATTTGATTACAAATTATCACAAGTCTGAATCAAGTTGTGGATGGATGGTTTCACTTGTTTGATTGCATTGTAATCCAGCAAACTTGTAAAGTCATCGTCATCTATGCTTTTTCTTTATACCTTTTTCTGCGAGGAAATAAGCGAAGAGAGATGGAGATATAACTTGATAATAATGGAATGCAACAAACGCCTAATTTAACATATTAGGGACCAACTAACGTCTACATTTGACATTAGCTCTTAACATTTTGACTTTTTAATACCTTACCAAAAATAAAAAAGATTGACATTCTAATGTCGCACGGAACCAAAGGTGGGAATAGCTGATAACATAGAAAAGTAACCAAACAAGTCCTGGAATCTTGTCAAAAAAGAAATTCAGTTGTCGAAATGTTCTTGAAAAAAGTTACTGCAACCGCAATGGTCGGAAGAATAGGAGGAAGAAATTCAATAATGCGGGTCAAATAGAGGAGGTGCCACTAAAAGGCCATTGGAGAGGGGCCGGGAAACACCATCTGAAAGAGGTACAGTGGTACCAGAAGGATTATCGAATGCTGATGCATAGAAACGAGTCAGAGATTGAAACAGTCACTGGAAAGAGGTTTGATGTTGTGACAGCAGTCACAATAAAGAAAAGTGGTGCAATCAGAATGATCACTGGAAAGGCTAGAATTGTAGAACTATCATAAGAAAGTGAATTGTGGAGGGAAATCTCTGTGAAAAGACAAAATCTATTTAGGTCCACAAGATCATAGAGGCTCTAATGCCATGTGAGAAACTGAGAGAGTGGACGGAAATAAATAGATTACTTGATAAAATACAATCCATACGTTTAAATCCGAATGACTAACTTTAATTTTAACACAACTTTTACATCTAAAAGTATGACACGTGACATTCTAACCTTTCGTGCTTGTGTTCACAACTTTGCATATCGCCGACTTGTTTACAAGAACTTTCTTTTTCGTACATGACAGGTTTGTTGGAAGACCTTGGATCTGCTCCATCGGGAGCGGTAGTGCTACTTCACGCTTGTGCCCATAACCCCACTGGTGTTGATCCAACCATTGATCAGTGGGAGCAAATTAGGAGATTGATGAGATCAAGAGGATTGTTGCCCTTCTTTGATAGTGCATATCAGGTAAGAGATCATCAACAGATGTGCAGAGCACTTTGGCTGTTGGAGTTGTTGCTGTGTGAGCATTTAAAAGTGATGTGGTTTGTTCAGTATATGTCAATTAACCTTGATATTCAAACTTTGATATTCTAGGGCTTTGCCAGTGGAAGCCTAGATACAGATGCACAGTCTGTTCGCATGTTTGTGGCAGATGGAGGTGAAGTACTTGTTGCTCAAAGTTATGCAAAGAATATGGGGCTTTATGGTGAACGTGTTGGAGCTCTAAGCATTGTACGTCTTAAAGGACAATGGACAACTGTGCCTTATTTCTGAAAATTTATATCTCCAGTTGGTCATTTGTTGCATTACCTTTATTTTTCTCAGATTGATTCTCATGATGCATAAACTGTCTTACTGTTTTCATAGTGGCCTTCTTTTGTGATGTTAAAATTTGGTAGTTATGAACTGTTTAAAGCTTATATAGCTTACTTCCAAATAAATAACTGTGAGCCTTGGACATCACATATAAATTATTTTATATCACGGATTCGAGCCGTGGAAACAACCTCTTGCAGAAATGTAGGGTAAGGTTGCGTATAATAGACCCTTGTCATCCGGCCCTTCCCCGGACCCCTGCGCATAGCGGGAGCTTAGTGCAACGGGTTGCCTTTTTTTCATCCTGAGGCATAAAAAGTTTGTAATTTCTCAAGAATGAATAAAGAGCCTGTTATAACAGGCAATTTGCATATCATATGGTGTTGTTTGTCGCACAGTGATGACATATTTATCACACAAATGAAAGAAAAATGAAGGATATAGTTCTGAACCCTCAGTTAAACTCTGCTGACAGTTATAATTCTTCAAATTTTCTCAAATCTGTAGGTCTGCAGGAATGCTGATGTGGCGAGCAGAGTTGAGAGCCAGCTGAAGTTGGTGATTAGGCCAATGTATTCCAATCCGCCCATCCATGGTGCGTCAATAGTTGCCACAATCCTTAAAGACAGGTAATATATCAACCATCAGGAAATTGCTTCTTGGGACCCTAAAAAGCCATTTCCTTTCTTTCTATATGATAGAATCCAGTGTATGTTCAAAAATTATGTTTAGTCATTGTTCTGCAAAATAAATCACTAATTTTCTGCAGAAACATGTACCGTGAATGGACCCTTGAGCTGAAAGCAATGGCTGATAGAATCATCAGAATGCGTCAGCAATTATTTGATGCTTTACGTGCTAGAGGTAAATTTGCTGCATTATTTTCACGTATGTGTGCTCTTATTACATGTTTCTTGTTGCATCGACTTCGGATATTTTTCTCATTTTTGATAATTTCGGTTCAAGTGTCATTATAAATGCTACATGTTCGTGGCATATACTTCTACCCATAAAATATGCTGCAACTTGTTCCAGCTCATTTGTCTAGATAATTTATCAAAAGGACCAATCTTCACCAGCTGACTCTCCTGAATGAAAGCTTAATTTAGGAAAAAGATTAAGCAAACAAAACATGGAATTCGACAAATTCAAACATTTCTCCAAATCTTAATAGATCTCGATCCTCCTTAGTGCTTTCATCAACTTCTTAGGTAATTCACCTCTTAACTTTGGCTCTGACTGGGTTCTCTACCTTTGGAAAACCATCCCCAAAGATGTCCCTTCCATGACACTTTTTGGGACATGAACTGTTGGATCAGGCAAGAAATTAAACCCCCCCCCCCCC